CCTTCCTGCACACCCCCGGGGCCCGGGCCTCCCTTCCTGCACACCCCCGGGGCCCGGGCCTTCCTTCCTCCATAACCCCGGGGCCCAAGCTTCCCTTCCTACACACCCCTGGAGCTCAAGGGTTTCCTTCCCTCAACACCTGCTGCATGGTTCTGACCTAATCTCATGAAACCACTGGCATTACTAAGTTTTGATTATGGTATATTTTGCTGAGGTGAGTGTTCATAGTACCATTCTCATACTCCAAAGTGCCCTGTGACCTCAACAAACCAAGCATTGAAATAGCATTAAGTCAATTACCTTTCTTTCGGAGGCTATGAGAAATGATTTTCCTCAGCCATTCTGGGCATTAAAACCTGACATTTTGTTCTTTATTCCTAGAACCCACTTAACTCCTGAATCCCGTCTATTAATTTACATGCAATTACAGAACTCGCTTCTGAACCTTCTGATCTGAATACTTCCTGATGTTTGTGTTTTTTATGAGCTTTGGCAGCATATACTTACTCCGGTAAGAGGAAGCTAACACTGACGGTTCTTTGTTTAGAGGGATCTGTAGCAAGTGAGTCCGGGCCACATGTTATCTGGAATTCCCTCTGTAAAACGACGTGACGCCGTGAGTAGGTACAGAGTCTGATGCCTACAAACTACTCCAGGTTTTCTGAATACACAAAATGGACCCAAACATTCTTCCCACTAAGTCAACATTCTTTTAAAACAAATAACCATTCTTTTGGCTTGAAAAGCTCTCCCATCCTCTGTACCGACCGTGATAGGCTCTGAAATCCCAGTATGAACACCCAGGCCACATCCTCATCTCACATCTTTACTAGGCAAGACACAAACGCGGCAGAGCACTCACTGGCTTGTCCCAGGGTGTCTGAGCTGGCACCACAGTGCTGGGTTCAATTTTCTGAAATTTGCTCAGTGCTTCCTCATGAATTTGTTTCAGATGCTGTTCTAATGGAAAATTACCGTACGTGAAGAATCTAAAATGTTAAGAGAACATATTTAGTCAATTTTAGTTTAAAAGATCTGAAATCAGGTGCTGTCTTTTTCACTGAAATACAGTACAGAGGAGTGCCCCTTATCTGAGGCCTTTCGGTTTCAGTTACCCTTACTCAACCAAGGTCCAAAAATATCACTGCACTTTGAGGGATCAAATTCACATAACTGTTATTACGGTATACTGTTGTAACTGTTCTATTTTATTACTAGTTATTGTTGTTAACGTCTCACTGTGCCCAATTTGTAAGTTCAACTTTCATGCGCAGAGCGTGGTGCTATCTTTGGCTTCAGGTATCCGCTGGAGTGCAGTGGCACCGTCACAGCTCACTGTAGCTTCAAACTCCTGGGCTCAAGCAATCCACCCACCTCAGCCTCCCGAGTAGCCAGGATTATACCACCACACCTGGCTAATTTTCAAGTTTGTTTTAGAGGCAGGCTCTATGTTACCCATATGGGTCTCAAATTCCTGGCCTCAAGCAATCCCCCTCGCCTTGGCCTCCCAAAGTGCTCGGATTTACAGGCATGAGCCATCATACCCAGCCAAAGATTGATCTTTCATTTTATTTTATTTTATTATTTTTTTTTTTTTTGGGACGGAGTTTCGCTCTTGTT